ACCCCAAACGTCTGTGTGCATATAGTCCAGAATAGCCCTCGTCTGATGGATGGCTGTTCCGAACTTTATCTTCGTCTTCTTGCCAAAAACACAATGCTCACAAAACTCAACTTTACCACTCTTATCTCCTTCAATAGCCACTGCTTGCATAATGCCTGCAGTGACTTTTCGCCTGTGTGCCCCAACCTATAGTGTCAAAGTTTGCTCATGTCCGCCTCTGAAATAGCTAAAATAACCTGGCCAATCTTGGTGCTCCCCTTTAGATAAAAGTTTCGACTACGAACTCCCTTCATCACCACCAAAGATCCCTTAGTAACCTTCGCTACAGCATCCTCAAAGGTCACATTGAATCCCTTCGCCTCTAAAGCTCCAACAGAAATAAGATTTTTCTTCAGCTGATGAACGAATCTCACCTCCTTTAACTCACAGACTACTCCATCGTGCATCCGAATCCGCACAGTACCTATCCCACAAATGCTACAGGATTGATCATTTCTCATGACAACAACACCCTCATCGAGTCTCTCAAACGATGCAAACCAATCTCGTCTAGGGGTCACATGATAAGTAGTACCGGAATCAAGCATCCAATCTGATGCATCCACATGGTTCACCTCCGGAGTAATTAGTAGAAAAAAGTACGAATCATCAAAATCATCGCCTTTTGCAATATTCACCTCATTGGCATTCAGGCCCTTTTTCTTACCATTCTCCTTCTCCTTGAGCTTCGGGCTGTCTCTCTTCCAATGTCCCTGCTCCTTACAGAATGCACATTGGTTCTTTGCTAATTGATGGTGGCTTCTTGACTTTGACCTCCCTCTATTACCACCTTTCGGATATAGGTTTCTACCTCTCATCGACAAGGCCTTGCCTGAAGTACTAACACGGGAAGTCTCCTTATCCTTCCTCCTCAAATCATAATTCATCAATACATTAGTAACTTCACTATAGCTGATAGAAGATCTCCCGTTCAACAAAGTGAGTACAAATGTGTCATACTAGCCTTGTACTCATCCGAAATCTTCTCATCAACATTCGCCACAATTTCGTATAGTTGTTCACATGAGCCGCAAACGAAGTGCCTCTGGACATCTGAAATCTGAATAACCTAGGCAACAAGTACAACCGTTTCTCAACACTCTTCGTAAGGTACTTATTATTGAGAATTTCCCACATTTTTATTGTAGACGTCATCCCAATCATATCATACTTCAGCTCTAGTTCCAAACAAGACCTAATCACCCCACAAGCGTTCCTATTCATCTTTTTTCATATCCCTCTTCATATTTTGGTGGTCTCTCATAGACCATGATGGACTCCTCCAAGTTCTGAGCATTGAGCGTATTCTGTACGTTGCTCATCTACAAACCAAAGTTAATTTTACCGTCATACTTCACCACACTAATTTTGGTGTTCTTAAAACCAACTTGAACTGTACTTATCATCGACTTGCTGATTTTACATTGTTCTCCCATTGCAAACTAACTCCAAGTTGTAGAGAAAGAATCAAACTTTTATAAAAATTAAGAATTACCCAATTAAACCCTAGATTGGATTCCAAATAGATTTCCTAACCACATGAGGAAAGCAAAATCTCCAACGGCAACTCCTAATGTTATCTCCATCGAAGCCTAGAACTCCAAGAACAAAGCTTCACACAAGAATCTTCCTCCACCTAATTCCAAAACACTAGATCTAAAATCTGGGCTCTGATACCACTTGTTGTGCGCAACGAAAATTTTGGCAGCACCTCGGCAGCACAACAAGAGAGTTAGATCATAACAAGAATTCCTGTTTCACCAAGGAAAAAAGAACCAAAAGTAAAATATCCTAACAAAGTGGGATATCAGCTCTTCCTCTCATCAGTTTTAGGACTGACCTGTCGAGGGAACCTAAATAAGCTATTACAAATCACACAAACAGCGTGACAAATGAATTTTACGTGGTTCGACAAATTGCCTATGTCCACGGGGTAAGGAGGGGGAGATCTACTATTAGAGAGAGTGAGAATACAAATAAGGTTTACAATCACACAATTTATACCTTCAAACAAGCTCTCAAATCTTACACAAATATCTCACTCAAAAAGATGCACAAACTCTTCTCAAAGTCAGCGGCTTCTCTGTCAAAGTCGGCGGCTCCTGCGATTTCCCCTTCACGAAACCCTTGCACACCACCGTGATTTTTCTTTTCACCCTCTGCTCTTGCACAACCGCCTTTCTCTCTGTAATTTTCTCTTTGCACACAAAAACCTAGGAAGACCTCACGCTATTATTTATAGCATGAGGGAATCGAGGGGGCCTGGCCTGTTAATCACACGCAAAGAAGCACTGTGGCCCCCACCCCCACTCACAAGAGGACAGGGTTGGAGGGGAAGAGGAGTAAAAAGGAAGAGAGGAGGAAGGTTAGGGTGAGGGTTAGGCAAGGGGAGGAGAAGAGAAGGAGAGGAGGGAGGAGCAGTTGTGATCTCCATGAGAAAAAGAGATGAGAAGAGAAGAAGAAGAAAAGGAAGAGAGATTTTTTTGAAATCTTTTTGGATTTCCTTCTTAGGCGGTGTAAACAGGGCTGAATCATAAAAAGGCCATTGAATTTGGGGCTAATATAGAATAGAAATAATATAGGGGGTTAGGCCACATGAAATTTTTATTTTTGGGGCATTGACATAATTTTTCCTTAAAAAAACTGCCTCAATAAATTATTGTATCCTCATTTAAGAATACTAGCATAGTGCACGTTCATTGCACATGTACGTATTTGTTTTCATTTTGAGCTATTTTCATGGACATGAAAATGGTGAAGAGACTATAAAAATACTTTTTATCTACAATATAGTTGCATTTCTTTCTTACTTTTCTAAATATGATGAGATAATCGCTGAGTATATTGCAATTATATTGAAATATAAGACCATATATGATAATGACATATTAAATAATATTAATTAATAAAATAATACTAAATATGTTGGTAAATAATTTGATATACAAATTGTTTATGATTTAAAAAAATTAGTAACTAATTTATCAATTATTACTAATTGCAAATAATTGTAGTAATTGAATGAATTCAATAGCACAATATTAACACATAGAGCGAAGAAGAATATTGTTAAAAGGTAGATGTTCAAAAGGAATTAGTTAAATTAATTATTTGAGCTCGAGGAATTAAAGAAAAATTAAATATATGTTATTTGACATTAAGAGTTATTATATGATCTTACTCGATGCTTGATAAACTCCAAATTACAACAATAAACTTCCATAAATTGCACATGTATCGCGAAACAACTTTCAAATTGAAGTCCATTCCTGAAACCGATAAAATTACTCAAAATTGAAAATTGAAACTCTATAAAGTTACTCTTTGAGTATTTTACTAATACTAAAATGCAAAATCCACCATTAATTTTGAATGAAATGGGTGAGTTGAAAAATAAAGGGTTAATTCCAAAAATTCCCCCTAAACTTTGGGGGTTATTACACATAGTTTCATGAGCTTTTTTATTCCACTAAATCCCATCTAAAAGTTTCTCAATTAAATCTTCAAAGTATCACCATCAATTTAAACATGCCCACACATGACAAAAAAAAATGAAAATAAACCCGTAGTTCCAAAATATTATCTTTGATGTTTAAAATAAAAATGTATTTTTAAGGGCCAAGAAGAAATTTTTGTCTCTTTTATCACATGTTTGGCATATGACATGTTAGAGTTCTTGGTGGTAATTTAAAAAATTAGGCCAGATTTAATTATAGAATAAAAAAGTTCAGATAGGTTATGTGCAACAACCCCAACTATCAGTGGATTTAGTAGAGTAATTTCTTTTGGTGATTCGGTGGGTGGGTGTGTGGTGTTCTGCTGTATAAGTAGTACACATAATTAGCATCGTCCAAGTAATAAAAATTGGACGTTATAAATTAAAAATACTTTTTTTAGGAAAATTACTTTACATAAAAATATTGGATCCTTGAGATTTATGAGACATTTACTTTCCAAAAAAGTGCATGTCTCTTAAATTCCAAGGATGCAATATTTTTATAAAAGCAATTTTTCTAAAGAAAAGTATTTTTAATTTATAATATCCAATTTTTATAATTCAGAAGATATTATAATATCGAACAAGGTAATATTTCTTACAATATAAAGAATTAATTCCTATGTATAGTATTATTAATAATTATAATTATGTACAAAAATTTATTAAATACTATTTCATTACAATTAGTAATTCCTTATAATAATTTATAATATATTTACAAATTTTATTATCAGTATAAGTTTTTAATATATTCTAGTGATTGACCAAATATTTTGGGAAAATAAAAAAAGTATATGTCTCATAAATTTTAAGGATCCAATAATTTTATATAAAGGAATTTTTCTAAGTAAAGGCATTTTTAATTTATGAGTTCTAAATATTTATTGCTAAAACGATATTAATTATCAGACAAGGTAATATTCTTTACGACAAAAAGAATCAATCCCTATTTATATTATTTTTAATAATTATAAATATGTACGATAACTTATTAAATAAATAATTTTAATACTTCATATAATTAAAAATTCTTTGTAGTAAATTATAAATATTTATGTTATTATCATTATAAAGTATTAATGTATTCTAGTGAATTTTGAGAAAATGAAGAGGTGCATAGTTAAAGAAAAATGTTATGGATCTTAATTTTATAAATATTGGTATAATTGTGAGTTATAAGAAATTGAGAGGGTAAAAGAGTAAATCAAAAGTTTTGACATGGGTAATCTGTTGTTGTATAAGTAGTACACATATAGATAGATATAGTTTTAGATAGATAAACTCTAAAGCTGATTCAAGTTTTCAACCTCGTCATCATCATATTAGGTACGCTCCTGATGATAAGTTCGAAAGTTTACGCAACTTTTCCCCGTAGCTCGCACTGGCACGTACTCGTATTCTCGTAGAAATGATAAGAATTGGGGACCTAATATCCAATGATTTGAGGAGATAATCTCATATCTTTAAAGATTCAAGGGCCCAAAGTAAAATTAAAAAAAAGAAAAAAATGAAATTCTATTACTACACATTGCGTTAAGAATTGCATTAAAATAGTTCGTTTGTGCTTATCTTTCCGAGTATTTGGTCTCCTCCCAGCTACGAGAACCAGTGTGAAGACCTAACGAGTGGGATCAAAAGATCGAGAGATCGAGAGGTCGAATGGAGAGCCCTCGAAGCCCTAGGAGCCCAGAAGCAGAGATCGGGTACAGGGTTGAGGATCTATGGGACATCCAGGAGCCTCAGCTGAGCCCATCTGAGAAGCTCAATTCCTGCTTCGAGAAGATCCCAGTCTCCTCATTCCCCCTTGCCCATCCCTCTCAAGGTAAAACGCTAACCCAATCTCTCACTGAATCCCCTTTTTTTATGGGGGAAAAAAATACTGTGCCCGGACTTCGGTTGAGTGCAGATTGATTGAGATGCAAAAGAATGGGAGGTTCATTGAGTCGAATTTCTTTTTTCAAAATGATCTTCTCTAATGCATGCAATTTTGGTCAATTGTGAGTGGAGGGGTACATCAGTGAAGATGGAGTTACAAGAATTAAGTCTGCCCGTGTTGCCGATTTTCTCAGTGATTAGTTGCTACCCAACGCGTGTTGCGTTGAATACTGCTATCATGAAGATGTATCCCGTATCATATCAGATACCCGGGCTCCTAGGACACTCATTGAATGGTGCATACATTTACTCATGGTGCACCAATCTTATAATGGACATTTTATTGAAAACACTCGGCACACACTTCTTTGACGTATATCCTACACATTCGCTTCCTGAAATTTGATGGACAAGGGTTAAGAACTATGATTTTAAAGGGTGTTTGCACCTTTAGTTCAAAACCGTGCAGTTTTCAATTTATAATGTACATGGTAAAATTACCATAACATTTTAGGACAAGTTTTCAAAACCAACCTCTTTCCACATTTAATCCTAAAAAAAGACCCCTTTCAACAATATTTTCAAAAACCGACCTGGTTTCAGCCTTGACGCTGAAACCAGGTCGGTTTTTGAAAAAAAACTTCTGAAACTTCTCGGGAGTTGGAACTCCTGTGAAGTTTAGCAAAGCTGCTAAACTTCACGGGAGTTCAACTCCCGTGAAGTTTTATAGTTCAAAAACATTTTTTTAACTATGAAACTTCACGGGAGTTGAACTCCCGTGAAGTTTCAGACTCCTTTTCACAAAAACTGACATGGTTTCAGCGCCAAGGCTGAAACCAGGTCGGTTTTTGCAAATAACTTCAAAATGAGTCTATTTTTGGGATTAAATGTGGAAAGAGGTTGGTTTTGAAAATTTATCCTAAAATGTTATGTTAATTTTAATTCTCAAAACATGCGAATGAAAAAGAATATTGATATCATATAAATTATTAATTTCAATACCACACAGATATACACGTATATAGTCGTGTCCTCACCCTATCTTTTAATAATTTGTTGTGTCTCATACATGTACCTTTACCATTTTTCATGCCAAATAGAAGGTAACTCAAAAGAAAAGGATTCGATGGGACAAATGAAAATGGTGTCATTGAGGTTTCAATGTTTGCATTAGTACAGCTGCTATATAAGAGCAAGAGCAATACAGAGTAACAGAGAAGGATCTTCAATTCGGTGAGAGATGGAACATCTATAGGAGTTAGGATGAGGGTAGTGCCGAGTCATTGGAGGAAATCGATATTAAGGTTTGCATAGTATCAGCTGATAAGAACCTTTCTGAATATGCCCAATATCAGAAATCAGAATTGATTTCTTCCTGTGACTCCTCACTTTCAAATGTGATGTTTCTGTTGCTATTACTTTTGTATCCGCTACAATAATAATTAACTCTACTACTATTATAACTACATGAAATTGCGTCCATAATGAACATCACACCATTGATATCTCCATACTTTCCAACTGAACTATTATCACACCTGGTCTTCATGTCAATCACCAATGTCTCCCAACATGAGCCCTGGTGTATAATTTTTCTTGCTTTTATTTTTGTTTTGTTCTTTCTGTCCTACCTCTCCTCTTTCACCTTTATTACAAACTCAAACAACTCTTAAGGCTGTGATAGCACTGGTTACTGCAGTTCAGGGAATCTCAGCCAAACTGTATGCGTCGAATGAAGTGCATGGTGACTAAGCATACGTGAGAGAGAGTCAGGGAATCTCAGCCAAACTGTATGCGTCGAATGAAGTGCATGGTGACTAAGCATACGTGAGAGAGAGCATAAAGAAGATTTAATGGGTTGCATCCATGTCTGCATAAGTCTGTATTTGACTAGTAATGAAAGAAATTACCGCGAGGTTTCTATACCCACCTATCTAGGATGGTGATGATCCTGTAATCCTCTTATGCAACTGAAGCACTACCTTGCACCACCTTCCCAATCTTGTCACGCACAATGATAGCAGATCCCATAACCTTGAAACTAGTAACCTATGAGAAGAAAGGATATGTAAGGACTCCTTTTGAAAGAGATGAAGCGCCTTCTTGTCATCCTGCAGTAAATGTCCTCTTTAAGGAAAAAAGCACTTGTCTTCTCACCTGAAGAAAGAAGCTTGCTACTTTCTCATGTCCCATCTTTTGCTCGCCTAAGGGAAAATCCTCCTTTTTTCCTCCTTTTTTTTATCTTTTTCCAGGAAGACTACTGATCCTCATCCAAAAGGAGAAATGCAACAAAGAATTACATTCACACATTAAAATGGATCATGTCTCATTATATGATGAGCCATTTCGTTGATGATACATTTACAAAATATGACTTCTTAAGATAAATAAATCCAGCTCAACATGTGGTTTGATGTCAACTCATGTGGGGCACCCTTGAATGTCAAGTTTTCATGTTAATAGGGGCATAGTTCCCAGTTTAGTATGTAACATATATAGTATTCCATGATACTACTCATTTAAATATGAGAAGTGTGATATCAGACATTCTGATAATACCGATATCTGTTTGCTGATTGAATTCGCAGGTTACCTTGAATTGAAGCATGGCACGTTCAACTGCTTATCTTATTTGCTTATTTGATTCTGAATGCTTTCTGCTGCTATATATTTGTTTAGAGCTTCACATATTGCTATGGTATCTAGGATGTTTTTATGTCATATTATGTATATATTTACTCCACTCACTCTACCTTGTTTTCTTGTATGCCTTATGCTTCTGAGTATAAGAATAATACATCTTATGGAGATACTGACACCATTGTCATTCTTCCTTGGAGGTGCTTATACAGTAGTTGAGATACCTTCAGATTCCAGTTTGGCTGATACTGTGGAAACTTTGTCCAAGCACAAGATCTTGAGTGCTCCTGTCAGAAAGGTAGAAGCACCAGATGATGCCAGCTGGATTGACAGATACATCGGAATTGTAGAATTTGCTGGAATTGCTGTTTGGCTCCTGCATCAGGTCACAACCTAACCCCTGTACTTAAAATGAGAACTTGTTTTATTTTAATTGTGCTCTTGTTGGAAGAAAGACTAATCCATGCTTATAACTTCTGTGATTAATTGCTTGATGTATTCAAAATGATAGTTCGATGCGGATATATTTTCCCTAGGTCACTCCATCCAAGAAGAAACTCTTTTTGCATGCATGCACATCTGGTGTGGATCAGTCTGGGTATAACACAAGTGCATTTGCCCATTTTTTGTCCATTGTACATTTAAAACAAGTGCAACCAGTGGGAACTACATTACATTGGACATTCTTCAACCAGGTAGAAGACATCATAATAAGTTGGCCTTTCAATTTCTATCAGGGTTTCGTGATGTGATCTCATGCTTTCTCTTAACTAGTCTTTGCCTCATGAGGATTATAGATGTTGAGTAATTACCTATATCTTCTGGATTAAATTGAAAGTTTTAGGGTTCAATGCGTCTGAAGATGTTATTCAAGGAATATCCAATTGGTTTTAGCCTGTCAAAAAGAAATTTTGTGCCTCTTTATGCTCAGGGGAGAGACACATGTATCTATAAGTACTACATGTGCTATGCGTAACATAGTCATATGTAGATACCACATACCTTGTAAAAATGGTTTATTTCCCAAGTGTACTCATTTAAGGTCATGTGGTGTTATGTTCCATGCATGAATTTGTGTGCGTGTCAGCTAAGTTGTGGTTAACCCATTCATCCATGAAGGTCTTTAGGGAGAATTTTGTTCAGCAACATCTATTCAAATACTAGATCAAATGAAAATGAAAATGAGGGTGTTCAAGCTGTCTCAAAATGTGTCTCTGTATCAAATATGATCGCTGGGGACATCTCATTTACATTTTATCTCTACCAAAGACTTATGATAGATTTTTTTTTTAAAAACTTGTGAGCTTCAAAACATCTTAATTTTGTGTGATTCACAAAGATCAACCGGCAAACTCATGTTTCACAGGCTCAACCCACTATTACAGTAGGCAGTCTGACCCATAAACAGAATACGACTCTCTATTTGCTCTTCTATCAAAGTTGTAATTTCTCTGCCCTTCTTCTTCTTCTCTTTTATGAGGCCTATTCTATTTTGCAGTCTGAAGTTGCAGCCCTTAAAATGATGGCTGGCAGTGGGTGGAGTTGCCCTAGCTTCTGCAGCTGCTGGTGGAGTCACAGCTGCTGCTGGACCTGCTAAATCTGGCCCCGATGCAGCTGCGTCAATGGGTGGAAGTTTCTTCGAGTTGCTTACATCCTCTGATTTCTATAAGAATACAAAGGTTGCTTTTAGATTATAGACTACTAATAAAGGCTAAATTGTACAAACTCCCTGAACTTTATAAATCATTGAAAATCCTCCAAAACTTGTCTCACTTAAGTTCGTGATTGACAGCCGTTACTTTAATTTTCAGATGCTTTGCATGTGACAACTTTTAAGCAATTTCACTCCTATCTTCTAAGTATAGCTTTAATATTTTTTAAGGTAAGGGTAAGTAGAAACTTGTAAAAAGAAAGCTAGTTTAGACTTTTTACCCATTAATGTTGTGTATGAGAATTTCCAATAGTTCCAGAGATTTAATATATTTTTGAAAGTTCAGTATTGTTTAAATGATTTATAAATTTCAGGGTGTTTTGTGCAAAAACTCCTAAAGTCCAGGAATTTTATGAAATTTACGCGGTAGTAAATTTTTATTTTACTTTCAATCTATCTTCATCACTGCCCATGAACAAATCGCAGACTTTGTACAGGTCGGAGATATCTCAGGATCATTCCGTTGGGCGCCATTTCTTGCCTTGCAGAACTCTGATACTTTTCTAACTATGCTTTTGCTGCTCTCTAAGTACAGAATGAAAAGTCTTCCTGTGGTTGACCTAGGTGAAGGAAAAATTGAGAATATAATCACACAATCTGCGGTTGTTCACATGCTGGCAGAGTGTGCTGGCCTCCATTGGTTTGAAAGTTGGGGCACTAAGAAACTACTTGAATTGGGACTTCCTATCATGAAGCCTGATAGAATTGTCAAGGTTCTACTTCTCTTCTTCTATGCCATTGCATTAATTTTAATCTATACCTTCGTTGTGTTAGCTGCTTGACTTTCCTATCCTAGTTCTATAATGTAAATTTTGCTAATTTTTATTGTAAGTTAACTCATGATCACATATAGGAGAAATATACCTTGAAGCATAGTTGGATAAAAGATAAATGCATACCCACCACGGGTGACCTAGACGGTTGGGCGGTTCTAATATGGCTTTCACGGACTAGGGTTCGATTATGAGCTGGGTTGTCAAAAGAAGAAGGGGGAAAAACCCATGGGATCTAACTTGGATAACTGTCTCTTTTAAAGCTTCATCAAAAGTGATCTACGTATTACAAAACTTACTTTCCTGTGGGGCTTTGCTTATGCAATAATGGGAACTAAAAGAAAGAGAAACTTAGCTATTGCAGCAGCAATGGTTCATAATAAGGATGAGAAGTGTCGATAGTGTTCTGATTTTTTTAATGATCACTGTCAATCTATTGCCAACCATTTTATCATGGAATAGAATTGATACCCTAATTCACGAAGTTATCCTGAGGCAAGAGGGTTACAACAGAACCCATGTTTTCTTTTTAATGAGCATTATAAATATATGTTTTGGAAAATAGAAATAACATTTGGTAACAAAAGAAAGTAATTACAGTCTGGAAAAAAAGGAACATCTTGTCTCTTCCTTTTCTCAGTCAAAGTGATACCTGGATTTAATTCATGGATTGTCATTTACTCTTTCATGGTTTCTTCGTGCTACACGTGGATCTCTATATCAATCATTATAGTTTCTATCAGGGATCCATGATCTTGGACGTCTCTGTGTGAGATGTTAGCTCAATTTCTATGTTCTACCTCTCTACTATGTCTCACCCTGAAATCTAGGGTTGCAAAACAGTCGGATATATCTGATCTTATCCGCAACCGTGTCCGAAATGGATGTGGATATGGTAACCAATATTTGAAACCATTTGGGTATGGATATGGATACGGATACATTTTGGATCTTTGGTCAAATACGGATTCAGATACAGATTTCACCAAATTTCAGATATGGATATGGATATCTGGATTTTTTTCATTGGTACGATATGGATTTGGATACAAATATTGCTAACTTTTTTTCTTTTCATGATAATAATTGAGTTTTAGGACGTGTTATTTGTTTTGGGTTATGTGGACTGTGCTTTGTTGAGGTAATCTATTTTGCATTTCGGACTTATTTATGGTCAAATTCATGTTAATACTATCATTTAATTATTTTATTAATGGTGATTAAGGAAACTTTGCCCTTTGAATAATGCGACCATTTGAGAATTGAATTATTTTGGTTACATTAGACATTGTACATCACTTTTAAAGTTTGACGATAGGCAATATTTTTCAAATTTTAAGTCATGTTTTATCTTTTTGTTGCAAAATAGAGCAATTAATGTACGAATCTTCTCTTATATCCAATGCATATCCATTTGTCAAGTATCTGATTCATATCCACAACCGTATCCATATCCGTATCCGTTTCTCTAATCTCCGAAGAGTATCTGTTTCCGCTGTATCCGTTTTTTGCGGATATGGACATGACTTTTACTTGCCAAAGGATAATTGTATCCATGTCCGTTTTTAGTAAGCGGATATGGATATGGTAAGTGCCTATTGCAACAGTATCCAATCCGTTTGCACCCCTACTGAAAGCACATGCAAAGGAGATCAGCTAGGGACATTGAAAGTCTGTTGAGTTATTGTGCCATCTGCCTAGTTCATATGTCACTCTAGTGAAAGTTCATGATTTTCTTCTAAAGAGCTTTATACACATGCTAGTTTCCTCCTCTTTACAGGTGAGTGAGGATGAACCAGTCTTGAATGCCTTCCAGATGATGAGGAAAAAGGGAATTGGTGGCCTTCCAGTAGTTGATGAAAGTGGGAAAAACCCAGTAGGCAATATCAGCATCAGAGATGTTCAGTATCTTCTGACTGCTCCTGACATATATAAAGAATACAGGTTTGGGTCCAATTATCATTAGTTCGTTGTCTCTTCTGCTGAAGCATCAAAGCCACTGCTCATTACTTTATAGATCTATGTATTCTTCTTGCCCTGTAGCATACTCTGTAGTTGTTTTACCAATGAAAGTATTTGTAAGAATGAATATCTTGTTAGGCATGCCACAGGACATATATCTGGACTAGGCTAAATAAATTTGTAGTACAATATACATCCACGAAAGAATAGGTGTAATATGCTCTACCCTTACCCTCCAGGTTCTTTGGTAAACTGACAGGATATCGGATAATTACTTTTTTCCTTTACACGAAATAAATGTTATTCTTACACAAAACAGTTCTATTCTTAGTGCTGATTAATTTTAGATGAGAATAGCATATTGCTTGGGGGTTAATTGCACATAGACCCTTGCAGTATGGTGCTTTTGAACTTATTAACCCTGTGATTTCATTTTGGCTGATAGAACCCCTGAGTGATTTTTTTGACTCTTTACCCCTGAAGTAAAAAATAAATAATAATAATAACAATTCACTTTACCCCTTGAGTCATTTTTTTTATTTTTAGAAAATAAAAAATAGTAATAACAATTCACTTTATTACATTATGTTTGGATGGAGGGTAGGAGAGGATGGGGAAAGAGAATTTGGCAATTTACTTTGTTGGGGAGTTTTTTTAGAGAAGTAATGGAAGGGAGGGAAGAGAAAATTTACATAAGAATATTGCCATTTTGTTCCCGGCAAATTGGGGTGTAGAGGAGAAAGGAGCAGAATTATTCATAAAAGATGTTTGACCCTCTTATCATTATGGATCAACGGCAGATATTTGATTATGGTACCCTCTCTTTCCTTTCCCTTAGTTAGAGCTCCCAAACATGATGAAATAGGATTTCCTCGATTCCTTTCACTAAACTTCCAAACAAGATATTATATTATCCTTCACCTTCTCTACCATCCCTTGCCTTGTTTCATCTTACCTTTCCTTTCCCCAATAAACTCCCAAACAAAGGAAATTTTTATAAAAATTTCCTTTGGTAAAAGCACAAGGGAGATATCTGAGGGGAAAAAAAACCACTTGGGGAGTCTCTCTGTCAAGAAAACTATAGGGCAGGGGCTTTATGTGCAATTAGCCCTAATGTTTATCAAATTTACGGTTAGATAGAACATGATGCATAACATTAAATATGGTGGTTTATATTTCATGCATAAAAAATTACTGTCATGCATACAATTAGTTATTGGGAAATATAAAAAAAAGAAAAGGGAGAGATTAAGCACCACAGGGCTATGTTTCTATTGGTGTCAGTTCACGACTCCATTAGAAATTGTGAGGATATGTTGCTTATTAAGTTGATCTTTTTGAAGAATATACTGAAAGGCGTGTCGCTGTTATTTACTTAGAAGAGCATTGATGCAAAATTTGCACCTTCGAGTGGAAAGGAAAATGAATTTCTTTGATTTCTGTGCAGGTCAATCTCAGTTAAGAACTTTCTCACGGCAGTTCGCAATTACTTGGAGAAGAACCAAGAGGTCTCACCCATGTTGAGAGGAGTAATCACTTGCAAAAGAGATGATACGATCAAAGACATAATATTGAAGCTTGACAGCGAAAAGATACATCGAATCTATGTTGTTAACGAGGAGAATAATTTAGAGGGAGTGATCACATTAAGAGACATAATATCGAAGTTGGTTCATGAGCCACATGGTTATTTTGGGGATTTCTTCGATGGGGTTGTTCCTTTGCCTCAGAATAGCCGAGTCTAGGACTTGTCTTTGTATTCAGATTGTTGTCAGCTGAATCTTGCTCTTGTATTATATTTGTTTCTTGTTTCACGTGTATATTAAGTTACTATGCTTGCTCTTTTATTTGCTGTATATTGTTTGTCTTCAATTTAGTCATCAATTAACATATAACCAATGAATTTCTGAAAAAAAATCAGAGTTGACAGTAAATTGGATTCAATTACCCATTTAAACTTCAGCAAGTAATAGTTGGTGCAAGTTTTCATTATTTCGTTGAGTGTGATGCTATTAGTGTTGGCTAGAATTCTTGCCGCTATTTTAGTTTGAATAAAGTGTTAATACATACGGCGTGATAGGATCATAATCACAACAAACATATATATGAGAAATATAGAGAACTTTGGTACCAAGTTCTTTTATTGAACTTGGTAGTGAGATGATCAAACCTCATCCCTACATTATGCCTGGAAGATGGAGCCTCATCATGCCTGTAAGATGGAGCCTTTTTTTGGAGTAGGTAAATAATGATTGAGGTTCTCTCTTCGAGGCGTGATGTAGGGGTGAGATTTGACCACCTCACTACCAAGTTCAATGGAAAAACTTGGTACCAAGGTTATATATATATATATATAATGATTGAGGTTCTCTCTTCGAGGCGTGATGTAGGGGTGAGATTTGACCACCTCACTACCAAGTTCAATGGAAAAACTTGGTACCAAGGTTATATATATATATATAAAAGTTGATCTTATGTCAACTTAAGTGGATGTACCCCAAACTTTTTAGCCACTCATTATATATATAAAAAACCTCACTCACTCACTTACTCTCTCTCTCTCTCTCTCATTTTCTATCACTTCAAATTTGAACTGTAATTAAGGTTTGGAAGCATTGTCTTTTGTTAAAGTTTTCATAATCTTTAAAATTGTCCTACTACAAACTACAGTCCCTTCAAGGCTTCAAACAAATTAAACTTATACGTGTAAGGGACATCACAATGTTATATATAGAGCCACCAAATTAAATTACGGTTTCAATAGTCTTTAAAAGTTGGCCAACGCATGTGGAGGTTCTCATGGTCTGACTTCTAACGTATCTTTGACAAAAACCCGTTTGCACAAGAATAAACTTGATATGTGCATTAATCTAATTCTAATGAACTATATTTTCCTTGTTTTTTATCCGTACGTGTGAATAATTGTGGTCTATCAATAAAAAGTGAGTTATTACTTATTAGGAAATCCATCAAACACATCATCAAGGAAGTCATGATTAATTACCTGAATTTTCCAGGCCAATTTGTACGCTACACCAGGATTACAATTTCACACATGAGGCAGCTCTTAATTAGCTTCACAGTATAATTCTCTGATGTTTTACACGTGACTATACATTCTATAAAAAGATAGAATGAATCATAATAATTTCAAGGAAGAAATAGAATGAGAAGCATGAATTTGTAGATGGAAAGAAAGTAACGAAAACATAACTAAAATAGAAATCAAATTTAGAGAAGGAACATGATTATGAAGAGAAAATAAGAGGGAGGTCCATAATATAGTAGTCGAGGCAATCGAAAATATAATTCTCCTACTCTTAAAGAGCCATATAAGAAACGTAAACGACGTGTTATTCTCGTGTTCTTAGAAAAATGAAAGAAAGAAACATAAAATAAGAACGAGATTCTCGTGCTGTTAGAGTTCCGTTATGAGAATTAATAAGAAAGAGACAGCAAGGAGGGTATTTTTCGTGTAATGAAAGAGGCGTTGAGGACAATATACTGTATATTGCGGATATACCGGAAACGTATAATGAAACCAAGATTATGAAACGAGAATACAAAACAGACAGTTAAAGAAAAGAAATGGCTATCCTAAACAGGGATGGATCCATGACACTTTTACTATGGGGGCACATATTCGACAATGCACATCGAGGATAGAGATTTTTAGGGTTTTGTTGGTTTTTTATATTAGTCTGTTATTCCCTCAAATAATTAAAATTACAACTGAGTCCCTCAATTTTTAATTATTCATTAAATTAGTCCCTTCAATCAAGAGTAAAATTAGCCATTAGAGTGATTAATTTGAAACAACTTATGATAATGTGGGAACCTCCTAGCAGTTTTAATGATTTGAGGGACTAATTTTCATATAATTCTTACATCCACACTTGATTTCAGGGACAAGTCTTAAATTAACTTAAAATTGGGGGACTAATAGCAATTCGATGATATGAGGAACTCATTTCAAAAGAACATATGAACTGAGTGATCTTATAGCAATTTTAGTCATTTGAGGGGCTAATGGAAAATTTTAAAGATGTAGGGACTAATACTATGTTTTGTCAAATCACAGGCCTAGTGAACCTGCAGAGAGGTATGGAAATATATAATTTTCCTAGAGTTTGGGCTTGGACTTGGGTCAATTTGGGCCATTTAACGGGGGCACCCACTAAATTTCCTTGGGGGCACATCCAATAGTTTTAAAAAATCATTCATGTCTATCGGAATGTGCATGGGGTACGTGCCCCCAAGTGCCTGCACTGCAAATCCATCCCTGATCCTAAACACGAGGATTTTATGTGATTCAGAGAAACCCCAGCATTCATAAGCAGCAGCAGATAAATCTTTATTAACTAGACTAGATTACATATTACACAGATGAGATCAATTCATTTCCACACACTCACATGTGATCAGTAAATTCCACCTGATTATTGTACTCCCCTCTTCCCAAATCTAATAGAATAACTCTTTGTACAAATACAAAGAAACTCTAAAGAGATAAGTAAACAGATGAGCCAGTGGCATTAAATTAAGTAGTGATTATAAAAGAGCGATCCAAAGATCTAGGGTCTAGAGAGGAAGCTAAATGTCGGGATTTGCGTTTAGAGCTTTAAAAGAAAGATTAGTGATGTTTATAAGTAAGATTAGAACGCTATTCTCCAATTGCTCTCCCTATGTAATTAGGGCGCATGATTTGTCTAAACCTTGCATATATACATCATGTCTGTGTTCTAATTTTTGCTGACATATATATATAATTGTATATTTTCTTTATGATTACTTTATTCTCCATGTTTAATTAGTATCACCATTTAGCATGCATCCAAGTCATAACAACATCCCAAAATCATTTTCCAATGGAGTAAACATCAATGGTAGATTTTTCCCTTTCTTTTTGCTTGATTATTGTTTAATTAATTTCTCATTTCACATTACATATATCATATACGTACTGTGAAATGTCATCCTTAATTGTAATGCATTTATCACCTATTTTCTTTGTAACACCTTTTTCATATTTTTCTATGGTACAATTAAAATAATGTTCAATTTAGTTAATGCTAATTTATTGTTATGACAAAATCCCTACATGGTTCTCGGCTTGTAGTCTATGTCCACAGGCGAATGAGGAGAGTAGCTTTACTAACAATTTGTGAGGAATACAAGCTAGGTGAAAATCTCTCAATCACTCAATCTTTGTTACACCCGAAAAGCCTAATTCAACTCTCTCAAATAAAGGAACAAAAGAGATAAAACATCAAATAGGCTTAACATAAGAAGTCTCTATTCTTGATTGGTGCTCTATAGTTTGATGATGATATTTGTCATGAAACAATGTACATATATAGACTTGAAGATCCCAACTCTTTATTGCCAATGGAATAGAAGTTCTAGAGAGAATTAAGTTCACATCTTCTAAAGCCCAATAAAAGCCCAAACCCATAATGACTTTTATTTTTGCTATAATTAGAGTTCTAATAGGAATTCATTTATGACTTTCCTTATCACCAACCTGCAATTCCTATACACAATAGGTTTGCATTGAAGACAAACTTAATTCCTAATCAAAAGGAATCCTCTCAGCCAAGTCTATCCAATAAAGAAAATTCTTGGCTTAAGTTCATATTTGAGTCACACTAACAAATCTCTACCTTGACTCTAATATATTAAAAATTTCTCACTCCAAATTAGCTAACTTACTCCACCTTCTCCAATAGCTCAACAAGGCATCAAGTGCGGCACATATCGATCATATTGCTTGAACTTGACAACTGAAAGAGGTCTCCTCAATAAATCGATTGAATTGTCCACATGACAGATCGTAACTCTTAGAGAAGTCATCACTTGAAGTAGCTCCTGAATAGCTAATGACACAAAACTGTCAACTGACAGTGATAAACTACCCTATATTCATATCTTTGCAGTGGTCGAGTATCTCATTTAGACCGATCTCTAGCATAGTGTATTTATTCTCTTATTACAGTTGCTGAGATATTTCATCTACTAGAATGCAATCTGGGTGCTGAACTCCTATAATCTTATCATGTTGAAGAGCTGAATTATGAATTTCTAACTTCACCTTCTATCCTGTAGTGCAGGGCCTTATCGTCAACTAAAACAGGTGACTATTTTTGGTGGAACATAGCAGACTCATCAAAAGTGATATCACGACTAATAATAATTTTAGGAGACTTCAGATCATGATACCACAACCCATGGATAACCCAGGAATATGCACTTCTTTACTTGAGACTCTAGTTTCTCTTGCGTAATATGTGCATATATGGGGAAACCAATTTTTCTAAGATTAGAATAATTCGTAGGCCTACTTGACCAAACCTCCTTTAGAGTTTTACATGCAATAGTAGTAGATGACGATCGATTCGCCAAGTAGCAAGTTGTATTTATTGTCTCCGCCGAGTATTCCTTGCCAAAATCTATACTAAACAACATATAATAAGCTTTCTCTAAAAGGATTTTGCCACTCCATTCTGTTGCGGTGTGCGAGGGACTGTGCAATGTCTAACGATCCCCTTCTTCTTACAAAATTCATATTTTCCTTCACAAAACTCAAGGCTATTAACAATTCTTAGCCTCTTAATCAGCCTCCCAGTCTATTCCTCAACCTAAGACTTTTACTTCTTGAAAGTCACAAACACTTCATCTTTATGTCTCAAAAAGTAGAACTAAACCTTCCTAGAGTAATCATCAATGAAGGCCAATAAACTGATACTCATTACATTGATTTTGTATACTGATTTAGAGGTGCTAATGAGACACTTGTCAAGTAATTCTTCCTCTCTATATTATTTTTTATAAAGCAGTGATAACTACATTGCTATTC